AGGACAAGATCCCGCTGTTTACCAACTGTATGTGTGTTTATCGATTAAGTTGCTCGTGGCGAGTTAGGTCTATGGGTCGTTCGACTCGTGTTTTGTCCAAGAGGGTGCAGGAACACTATCCTGCATGGTTACGAAGAGGTGGAAGTGGAGCAATAAGAAGCGCGATCATTGAACATCTGGCCAATAATGATCACCCTATCTCTATAGTCTCCGCCTTTAAAGTCATCTACAAGGCAAAAAGTAATTTACCGAAATCATTAAGTACCCGACTCATCTGTGTTGCTGAAGCTTTGGCTATTGAAACAGAAAAGCCAGATCTCTGTGTACAGAAAAAGTTAATTCAACTCCTCCAACTTCCATGGTCTTACTCCCTCTATGCTGAAGTATGGCTCTACCAATTTGTTTTTCATTTTGTCTATTCAATTTGCATACTCTTCCTTTTATTACTTCAATTTTTACTTTTACCATTCTCACTTTGGACTGTCCCCGGTATTATTTCACTTGTTCCACTTGTCATTCTAAATCAATTCTTTTTACGACGTTAAATTCTATGCTATCAAATTTCACACAATATTACGTGACGGTTTTGTTTTATTCGATTTGTCTACTACGCCTATAATTACACACCCATTCCAAATTCTATCCATCCTATGAATTATTCTATATATGAAATTAATTATTTTGCCACTTGACATATAACTATGATAATAATTGCACTTCATATTTTATTTTATGGATTCACACCTACGATTCAGTTCTCTCACCGGATATAACTTCTTAAAAACCGTATAAATATACGATTGTACAACTTGATAATAAATTCATTGAACAGAGTCTCTTTGCTGAATCACTTGTATTGATTTTCTATATGTTACAATGGGAATCTTCCATGAATTAAAAAATAGATATATAGAAGGTGATGATAGAAAGATCTTGTGGCAACTTACATCAGCCCTTGTGTACTGCACAACAACCATCCTCTTTTATGACTGTGAGACATCAACATTGAAAGTAGAAGACACAAAAAGCTTGTCTAGCTGTCTTTGATTATAGGTGTGTGTGTGTTCTTTCTTTACTGAGTAATATCGAGCTTAGGCATAGAATGTTGGTTAGGTAAGGAGGGAAATTCAATCGATAAAGTTGTGAAACTAAATCGATTGTGATGGCTAGGACACATACTGTGCATAACTAGCCCTCGCGTTCCTCAGAAGGCAATGTCAGGTGACATAGGATTAGCTTGGAAAAGAATTAATGGCGGTTGAACAAAATCCTGGAATCAGTCCATGAAATCTTTAACAGTTAGTTCGAGCTAGTCACGTGGAGAAGTACAGATTACCTGATTAGGGTCCATGACATTTTTAGTACCAATGACCGGAAACAATGCATGATATGGCTTAAAATCGTTCTCATTAGCGTAGAAGCATTCACTCTTATTAATCTGCCACTTTCATTAAAACCCTATTGATTTCCATGTTACTCATCTTTTCACCTCATATTTTCACTTATCATAATTCTTTTGAATCTCTATTTTGCTCTCTTTTGTCGACCTTTATGTGCTACATGGAGTGCGGCAAGTTGAACTTATACACTTCTATGCAAAGTTCTACGCCGAAACCAATCAGTTGGACAGTGCGGAAAAATGATCATTTAGGGAAACAATTCTAGCTAGATATCTGAACAAGTATTTCTTAACAAATTTAGACTGAATTCCCATAACTTAATCCTGAATATCGAGTGAACCGTTCTAAAAGGTTACATAGTCATTTCACTCAGATAAATCCCCTCCCTCTGTGTAAATTTCACCCATTCATTTCTGTCCTTGTTTATCCACTTTAGCATAAGTCAATTACCGTTCAATAACAAACTCGTTGTCTTCTCTATTTGATGAAGTATTAAAAATAATAATAATAATTTATGCGTATTCCCTTCAAATATTTAGGTAATTTTCATTGTCTTTTGTTATACTGGTTCAAAAATGACTCTATAGATAAGTGAGAACTGAGGAAACATGCTTTTTTCTCTTGACATTTATAAATATGTTTCGGTATAGGGAAGGGATTCATTGAACGAAGGTTGAGACGTTTTCAGTAATACTTAAGAATGTTTCAGTAAAATCGAAGATATTTAAGAGCAAAACCAGCAAACTGGTAGAAAAAGCAGTTAGTGAAGATAGGACATGAAGTGAACATAGAGAACGCAGAGGTGATGAAGATCCCCAACCAGCTAACAAATAAACAAACAAAAACAAACATCAATGATTATTAGCAGGAAAAAATTCGAAAGAAGTCACTTCCTTACTTATCTAGTAAGCATTGTTTCAACTGCAGCAAGGATGAAGATATCGAAGCTGGCCAGAATCAGAAAGGCAAAACAGACATCCATCGCCCTGAAATTAGTTTTGGAAATCTGTCACTCTCATCATACAGAACAAGATTCGGAATTCCAACACAGATGTTAATCCAGTCAAACCTTCTATTGGGTCCAGTGACTTGGCCAGTGCGTCACGAAGGGCGTTATCAACAGGCAAGTGCAGACTTTCACTAGCATCCGCAATCGCTGACTGCATACCGAAGATCAGATGACCAGAAAGAATAAACAACAGGAAACTCTGGGAACGGATCAACCATGAACCTATCTACCAACAAGTCTGTAGAAGAAAATGGATATGAGGATGAAAGCTCATGGAAAACGGGAGGGGGGGTTGACAGATTAGGAGGACTGCATTGAACGGAACAAAGTGGTGATCTTCTAGAGTTTTCGCGCAGGTGCAACGTTTTCTTCTTATCTCAATGCCCACAGTATGTCACTGCACGATCCAGTCTACGACAATTAAGAATATCATAGGTTATATTAGGTAGTCTTGGCTTACTGTTGTCTTCACCTGCGAGGCTATGCTACGTTTTCCATGGTATTGTCATATAGCTGTTGCATGAGGTTGATGAAGTTTTGGGTGTCTCCGTGGTGCAGTCAACGCTTTCGATGAACTTTTCACATTAGGTGAAGTTCAGGTGAAGTAAGATTTTACTGGCACTCTATGCCCTATTCGGTGGGTGATACGTAGAGTTACAATTACATGATGTGAAAATGTGTAGTATTTTATTTTTACAAATAATGATAGTAGTGATAGTGATAATAATAATATTATTGACGACATGCATGTCAATATGCACAAGACAACACCAACAATAAGGAATCTAAATCATCAGTTGTAATTCCATACAAGGAAGGAACCTCGAAAACACAGAATTCTTAATAAAGCAGGAATAAAAGTGGTAGCATTCAAACCACCCACAAACTCAATTAGAAACAAGCTTTGTCGGTTAAAGGATCATGTGGAGCCAATAAAACAAAACACTTTACTTTATCTAATACCCTGCAATGCGTGTCAGGTCAAATACATAGGTCAAGCTAGTAGAACATGGGCAGTCAGACTAGCCGAGCATAAGAACCTGGCAGCAAAATCTAGATTAGTTGACCCGAATAAGATGAGAAATCTAGAGAATAGTTCAGCTATAGCACTACAAGCAGTCACACACAACCATACAATAGGATGTGATAGGATGACAGTTTTAAAATGTAATGTCACAGGGTGGAGGGAGAGATTGATAACTGAAGCTTTGTTTATCGAATAAACTGCAAACACGTGTAATAGGAATGATTCAACACCTATCTACCCAGATATCTGGAAAATTCTACTACCCCTACGACGACAAATAGGAGGGAACGAAGAAAACTATAATACTCAAGTTTCAAAGTCGTGTGATTACAATTGATATGACTATGAACAATAAATTTTGTTCGAAAATGTGTCATCCAGTAAATAATAATACTGTTTCACTGTGTGATATATCAAATAAACAAACTAATATGGAATCACTTACTACCACAGTGCCCAAGTTTTACACATATATTAATACGATAGTGAATAATATTCATTTTTTACAATTCTCACATTGATCTTTGAAATTTTTTTAAGTATCTGTTTTTTTGCAGAGTCAGTTTCTTCATAGATTGAAACCATCTAGAAGAAGAATTTAACCTGATGGTAACCTGATAGTTGTTGGTCAGATGCAAGCAAAAGAATATGGTCGTCGACTAATGAAGTGCCATGCGTTCTTAAAAAAAATTATCAAATGTTGATAATTGATGAAGGCAACCTCAAGTAAATTAACTTAGTTTGCACAAATGTGATATATATTTCAAGTAAGATAAGGAGCTAAAATCACTTAGAGAACGGCTAGAAACCAGGGCATACTGGCTAGTAGTTTTGTCCCAGTTTGAGATTCCTCATCGCCCCACTGGAAATTGAGTCGAGTGTCTTCGTGTCACGAGACAAGCCCACTGGCCATTCAACCACTGAATGAGTATCGAATAACTCGGGGATTTTAATTGTCAGTTCGCTAACGCCAATAGTTCTAGTGATAGATGATAGCCAGTAGGGTCTACCAAGTGGAGTGTTTGGATAGGCACCTGCCGACAATAATGGATAGCGATTACTATGTATATGAAGAATTTGCAAAAGCTAGATTTTGCAGGTTATTAGACTTCAATCCTCGCCAACCATGCAGCTGGTTCGAGGTTCAATCCTCGGCCGACGCATTCCTTTACCTCGCTAAGCCAGTAATAAGACTGGTTAAAAAAATGAAAGTTGGGTGTGAGGCTAGTAACTCCATCCCGGAAAAGTAAATACCACTCCTACCGAAACTGGGAGCGTAAAGGATTAATAATAATAATGAAGATTTCAACCCAGTGGGTTGGATCCCTGGTGAGGTCGTATATGAGCACTCCTGAAGAGTCCAGAACTAGGAAGAAACATCTGTTCAGTGCTTACTCATCATCTCCAGTGATTTTCTTTCATTTGACGTCAGTTCATCATCTAATCTTAAATCTTAAATACTGAGCTAGACATATTTATGACAAAAAGAAAAGGATCTATGAAATAAATAATATTGAATAGTTGAAAGTAAAACATTTTCACTTTTAAATTTCAACATTATTACCTGATAAAAATTTTCCATATTCAAGTATTTTGTTATCTGATCAACAGAATTTTGTTTATCTTCATCACTTCGATTAATTTCCACTGTATGACATAATGCTAGTGTTGTAAGACATTTTAATAATTCATCAGGTAATAATTGTTCATCAATGCTAAATCTAGGATGATTACCAGTTAATAATGAAAGATTATTGATTTTTCTATTTACACCTTTGACTTTATTAACATCTTGTCTATTTTTAACATCGTCAGCTATCTCATCCTCCATCTCTTCGTCGATGTCTGTCTCTGAATCAGATGATGATTCAAAAGCTGGATTATCTTCATAATATTCAGTGTTATTATCTATTAACTTTTCATAGATAACACCAATATGTCCAAATTGATTTTTTCTCCTTGAAATTTCTTTTAATCTATACACTTCTGATTTACAAATATAAGATTTATATGAATTATTCTGTTGTTGTTGTTGGTGGTGGTGGTGGTGTATATCAGTGATATTTTCATATTCCTCATTGAACACGTAGACTTTATTTGTATTTAAAACAGCTATAGTGTGTAAAAGCATTTCATTCTGTGTCAATGTACCAGTTTTATCACTGAATAAATACTTGATTTGGCCTAATTCATCAATTAACTGTGGTGTATTGGATTTTGTTGCAACATCCTGTTCAGTATCATACATTTCTAGATCAGATGAAATAAAATAGGCCGCTAATATTTGTTGAATTTCCACTGTAATAATTAATGATATGGGGATTAAATAATTCAGAATAAATAAAAAGCGGAATACATCTTTAACTTGTGACCAATATTTAAAATTTGGTGCAGGTATAAATGGATTTGTTAAATACTGCATAGACCAATTTTTTGTTAATACAGAAAAAATAATACAAAATGATGACATAATAATCATAAAAGTGATTAGAATGACATTCGCTCTACTTTCACGTGAACTATACTTTCGTTTAGGTTGCTTGGAATTAAGCAACAATTTTGTATCGCGTCCAGTGTAAACCACTAAGCCAATAATACATCGTGTTGTTTTTAATTTAGCCCCTCTATATAGAATATTATTTAGCTTTAATGGTTGATTTAATTTACCATTACTTAGGGTGATATAACCTTCAAAATGTGAAAAATCTTCATTCGGCTGTTGACAATCAACTCTAATAAATAATGTTTTAATAATATCATTAAATTCATTATTTAGCGAGTAAACAATTGAATCATTTAAATAATTTTTATAAATATTATGTGTATCTAATATAGAATAATGTGTTTTAATGGTACTTTCACCGTCTAAATTAACAGTTGTTAAACGACATGAATAATCATTGGAACTTGTTGCTAAGATAATTAAATCACACGGGAATTCTTCGTCATTTTTACACATAATTACATCACCAACAGTGATATGCTTCGACTGAATCAATTTCCATTGAAGTGTATTACTTTCTTGATCAATATACATGACGGGGTATTTTCTTTCATTGACCTGTTTATCTCTACGATGTCGTAGAATATCATAAATAGCATCTTTTAATAAACTGACTAGTAATACAAATGATAATGGACCGATAATTGCAAATACTGATGTCGCGCCGTCAGCAAACATGTGGATAATAGCAACAAGTATAAAAAAGACAACTGACATAGAATGTAATTGTTCGTAGATAACTTTTGGTAAAAAATTCCATATTGTATAAATTGATGTTTTAATTTCATTATTACAAAATTCATAGACATCAGTAAATGTGACTGGAGAGTAAGCGAGCAAGTGAAGTGCATGCACAGTTCTCGACAATACTGATGCTGATGAAGACGGCGTTGATGTCATTACTCGTGACAATGAAGAAGAATTGTAGCTAGCTGATTTTTTTCTTTAATTATTAACTTGTTACATCCATATAATGGAAATGAATGGAATTTAAGTTAATAAAGAATCGTTATTGTTATTGTTGTTATGATTATTATTATGACTATTAAAGATGGTATACTGTTCTTCTGAGTAAATAAATAAGTAAATAAAAGAAAATTTTATAAATTCTTCAACTGTTCAATATTCAATAGTTGTACGTGGTGACCAATAGGAACCAAGGTCACTTTACATTGGTCTTATCCAATCAGATTCTAGTGATAATTATAACATGATAAAATTAATTAAAATTCCTCACTAAATCAGTCCATTTTACTAATTACTAATTTGTATATGGATAAAACTGTTAGTATTTATTATTTATGCAGGATATTCTTCAGTTTGTAGTTAAAAATGAATTGATCAGATACGTATCTCTACAAACTGCTATTCTTCTATGGACTTCAAAAGTAAGATGGGCCTTCATCAATGTGGAAATCTACCGTACTCAGCATGAAGAAACAGATTCATATTTTCAACACTAATGTTAAGCCAGCTCTTCGATGCAGATCAGAAACTTTACCAGAGCATCAAGAAGGGCATTTTCAACAGGCTCCTGAAGTCTTTTATCAACACCTGCCTTCGCTAGCTCCATACTGAAGATCAGATGGCCAACCAAGAAGAATAAACAGCAAAGAAATTTTCGGAATAGACCAACCGAGAGCCTTTTGCTCAACAAATATGTCGAAGAAAACAGAGATGAATCGGGCATACCCTAAAGAGGCCGTCTGTTGACATCGCACGCCAGGCTGTTGCTAGAATGGGATGCGAATGGGAAACCGAGAGTCGGTAATGGGTCAGGGGGTGACATGGGGGAGACCGTGTGAGGTGCAGATGATTGCCAATGGGCAATCTTGGAGCCAGCTGAAGAGGAGTGAAGAGACAAGACAAACTGGGGATGGTTTGTTGAAGCTCTGTTCTACTCGGAACCTTAGGGAATAATAACACATAATACTATTCCTCTATATCATATTGCATTGGTCACCGAAAGTTCATCTTAGGTTTATTTTGAAAAAAAAACTGATTAGATCGGCACTATTTACAGAACTTTCATGATTATCAATCACACAAAAAATCTGTGAGATTGAAGAAAAGGGAAGTATAAGAAAATTTTAACTGTGGCTTGTGTTGTAGAAAGCTGACATTCAAAAATCAGAGCGTCCACGTACTTACTTATTTGAATTCGTTTTATACTTCTTGAATACTGTATTTTGACCTCTATTCATAATTTATTTTGATCTTACTTGATAACTTGACTGATCAAACAATTTAAATAAACTCTGAAACCGGCTTCAACTGATTCAAGCCAGAATGAACAAGCCATCGGGCTTTTGAAGTAATTTGATTTGATATGAGTGTCGATATTCAATCTACCGACTGATTCAGTTTTTTTTCAAATCACTCCATTTCTATGGTCATTATATGGCTTTTATTACTTACTAGACGACATACACCTTTTGTCTCTGTCGTTGTGTGTTCTCTTTCGATCCTTTGATTGATGTGGCTTTATAATTCGTGCGATTTATTATCAAGCTGGTAAATTAAGTAAAATACAAAATTACTGCACAGTTTTTGATGTTTAATCTTATACAATCGATTAAACCAGTTGTTGGTAGCATATATAAATATGACCGCCAAACGATAACTGCTACCTTGATTTGGTGGTCAGGCTTGCATATCTCAGTGATGCAGCAAGCTACATTGTCTGGAACTAATGTTCCTGCATATCCTACCAAGCCAGGAAGGTTATTTGGATAGCAGCTAGACTAAAAACAGTGAATATGATGTACATGGTTCCAGAACGCAACAGATCAAATGGCGTACGAACCTGTATTGGTAACCGGAAACCATGGGAACGTAGCTCCTGGCACTACCTTGCGGATGTGACTTTATTTGAAAGGCTCGGAGTGGGTGTTCCCCTAGGACATCCATCTGCTTCGGTCGGTGGGCTCCGGCAGTATCCCAGCCCCTACACTATTAGTCAAATGAAACAACAAATTATGAGTTAATCTAATCGCACGCTCATGAACAAAAGTGATATTTCTAGGAATGCGTTTCTTTTCAACCTAATTTTTTTATACAGAAACTTTTGTGTTTTACTTTTTATATCCTTGGTGTCTTCACTTTTGTCAGCCTCTCAGCTTTGTCTGAATTTTCAGCCTATCTGTGCCGTTTCGAGATGTCTATAGGTAGCCTTCAAAATGGTGTTCCCAATGCGACGTCCTGAGACCCCGTACCGTGTTCAAGCTTACCACCTTCAATGTTCGCACACTGATGCAAATCGGACAACACGCAGACCTGGTAAGCACATCGGAAAGCTTTTCTATTGATATCTGCTGCATCTCAGAGGACCGTATTCAGGATCCCAGTGAAGTGCTTCAGATATCTTCTCCATCGGGAAACTGGAATGGTATGTTTCACATGGGCTTATACGAGGAACCTGTAGCGTCAGCATCCGGCGTAGCTGGTGTCGCATTCAGTGATAGAGCCTTAGCTGCAGTACTTGACTGGGTTCCTACTAACAGTCGTTTATATGCTGTGAGACCGGGAGGTAATACGAGAGTAAGAAGTAGTATGCCAGATAGGAAGTACCTATTTATTGTCTGTGCGCGTGCATCAATGGATTGCAGCCTGGATAAAATTAGGGATGCGTTTTACCATCAAATGAGCGAGTTCCTGAAACAGGAGCATCAGACGGATACACTATTGATAGCTGTGGACTTGAATGCACAGGTCAGGCATCTAAGCTAAGAGAAGAGTCATCTATGTGTTCAGTACGGATTACATGGTAGCAGGTCAAACAATGAGGACCGTCTTCTGAAGTTTTGGATAGACCACAAGCTATTTCTAGCCAACACCAACTTCCAACAAAGCCATAGCCGTAGCGCTACCTGGCGTTGTCATTCTGCCAGCAAAGTCTGAACTTAGATTAGTCACATTGCTGTCATTTTCCAATGACGAGAATGCATACACGACTGTCGCTCCTTCTGAAGTACATGCCTGAACTCAGACTTCGCTTTAGTGTTCCAGGTTCGTCTTGCGATTAGGTAAGGTTCATAAACGGTATCCTCTGAATGTTGATGTGAGCAAAGTGGAAGGGTGCAGACAATTATGAGCATCAATTTGATTGGGAGAATGTAAACACTTTAAACAGAGGAGACACCAAAAGTGCCAGGGAAAATCTAGAAACTCCATAAGCCACTTAATCCAAATAATCTACCCTAGCCATTTTAAAGATGATGGCGAGACTTTCCCTGTGGCTTTGACTGGATTTTTCAGGAAAGTATAGGAAAGTGAAGATGTTCCATCAATGTGGGATGTAGCCATTGGCTGCTGTGAAGCTTCTCAGACTGTGCAAAACACGTGAGGAGTTGATTTGTGGAGAGAAGCTTAGTTTTGTTCAGGCTATGGATACACTGATCACGTGCTCACCCGTCAGTTGTATGAATACCGCCACACGTTTTGCAAGCCAACAGCTTTTGTGTTCTTTGATATTACGGCTGCCTTAGATTCGTTGGATAGAACTGTTCTCTGGAACTGTCTGTTATGGAGGTGTGTACCTGGGAAGTTTGTTAACATCTAGAAAGCTCCATACAGAAACACCTCAGGTAGAGTGAAAGCATACAACGAGATATCATCACTGTTCCCAACAAACAGTGAGGTTAGACAGGGTTGCCTGATCTCTACATTTCTCTTTAACTTTGCCATCGATGACATTCTGGAATCAGCTCTGAAGGATGTGCGTGGAGATGCTGTAAATCTGCTTCCTGGAAAACTTATTGACCTCGAGTCTGCAGACAATATCACCTTACTGTGCGATAGGATGCAGGCTGCCCAAATCGCACTTAATCAGTTAGCGATCAGTATCTGTAAGTATGGTATGTGCTTTTCACCATCTAAGTGCAAGCTATTATTACAAGATTGGCAAGAGCCTGTACCTGAACTCACTCTTACAGGCGAACTGCTTGATGAATTTGCCGATGAGTTAGGGTATCTTGAATAGACTTGACGGATGAGATTTCCAACCGTATCATGAAAGCTAGGTTGGCATACGTCAAATTCAGCCACCTCTGGCGCCGCTGTGACATTAGCGTGTCTGTCAAAGGTCGAGTTTGCAGTGTTTCGGTAAGCGCAGTCTTGCTCTATGCCAGTGAACTTTGGCCTCTCCGAGCTGAGGATGTTGGGCGACTCTGCGTATTCAACCACTGCTGTCTCTGTAGAATTGCTTGCATCCTAAGTCATCACCGTATTAGTAATTCTGAGGTCCGCAGCGTATGTTTGGATATAGTGGAGATTATCGTTCATTGAGTGTTGTCATCTGGACACACCGGCTGTGATGGCTTAGATGTGTGCTACGAATGTCATCCTAGGGGCTTTCGTACCTGTCTCTGTTCGCTGTTCTGGGACGGGATGGAAATAGTGGAGGGGTGGTCAGCCTACCATGTAGCTTTGCAGGATGAAGGATATTTTTGTTAGGTTAGCACCGATTGATACGTCATGACTCCCTGGTGGCGGTCCGAGAGATAGTTTGAATTGTTGGCTTGAAATGTTATCTTATATGGCCGAGAATTGAAATCAATAGCGAACGTGCTGCGATTTCCTTCTTTCTTCGCTTTCCAACAGTAATTCGACGAAAGTTGCTTAGTTTTGTCAAATATACTTGCTTCCTCTCTGGATGAGACTCTTTATTCATTCTCTCCCAATTTTCTATGTATATTTCTGTTTTATTATCGTTGTATGACGCATCTTCTTGATGCCTATACTGCTTCATTTCTGTGTTTTGAATAAATAATATGTATGTATGATGCCTTTTTGTCTGAAAATGTTGATATTCGCACCAGCACAGATCAGTCCTGTCTTCATTGTCACAGCAGCTAAAGTACCGAGGAGGAACAGCCATATTCAGTCTTCAGTCTAGTGAA